TGCACAGTGAAATCGAAGTTACAGAAAAACTGAAACCACAGTAGATGAAAACCGAAAGAGTCATCTTCCTATTTGAGACCTTGAGCTTTTTTCAAATTCGAAGTCGGGCTCTAAATTATTCAAAATTACAATGCGACAAGCACCAAATAAAACCTAAAGGAAAAAAACCTGCTGTTGTTATGCACAAGAATGCTGACAAGACTTTTGTTTTCTTAAATACAAATGCAGTATGCAAAACAAAGACCGGCACAAAGACAAAACCTATCTACACATCCAAAATGCTCGGACAACTCGAACATTGTCAAAGAATCATATGTTGATTCTACCATCGATACTTTTTTTTCGTTATTTCCAGAGATCAGTTGTAACGCCCCAAATTTTATTAATAAAGAAAAGTACTAGCTTTTAAATATAAGCTAGCCTTTGTTAATAAATATTCATGTTAAGTCGAAAGTATATCCGGTTAATTTTATTAACCGAGTCAATGATAGTAATTAATCTCAGTCTGTTTATATAAATAAATGGACATCAGCGAGTTGAGATTAATTATTCTAATGTTGACGTATTAATTGAATTGAGAATATTCGATTTAATCGTCATAGCCGAGTTTCGACCGAAATCGAGTAAATGCGGTCAAAATATTTCTGAACCTTAACTAAGTGAGTTAAGTTTGGAAAATATTTCTAAGTATATATTCTATAAAGCTTAAGTATTAATACGGCAAAGAAAAGTTTTTCTTGTACCAATTTTCTAGTTCAAGGCCATATGCCATGCGTGCATGTGATTCTGCTAAGTTTATGTTCATGATTTATTGAGCTAAGTGAGTTTAATTAATTCCAAATTATCATTATGAGTTAACTTTTTTAACTTAGTGAGTAGTCGTGAGATTTTGACACATCATGTGGTGATTAGCCATGCGTTATGCCACTAGTTATTTTTAGAAGGACAAGTGTCCTTATGAGGATAAGCTCTCAACCTCTTCACCCCACATATACGGCCTTAGAATGAAATTACGGATTGGGCACTAAAAATTTTCATCCTTTTCTCATATAATGCCGAGAGTAATAGATGTGAGTAATAAGTTCATAAGCCTAAGAGGAGTTTAATCATTTCTCTTGAATATCCACTATTTCTTTAGCATAGCCGAGAGTTAGAGTATTAAGCCAATCAAGAGAGATTAAGTATTACTCTCGCAAGTAACGCACATAGAGCTATAGCGCGCACATGGAAGCAAAGGGCCGAGCATTCACGAGAGTTATGTAATCGATCGCGCACCGGAAGAGGTAATCTCCTCTTACCTCTATTTTCCATGTTAAGATAATCATCGTAAGTCCAATCCATGAATTTAAGGCCATAAGCGTGCTATATTTCCTTCAAGTGTACAAACAAAACCATGTCGAGAGATGTTCGTTTTTAGTCCGAAACTCTCGAGCAATTTACGTTTATTCGGTCAATATATTCCATTTCATGTTCAGTTAAGTAAGGTTTGTCGAGGAAAAATCATCGTTGTGCCTAGAGTGGGCTAAAGCCTAGGTACCGCACGTAGCGGAAGCCACGACCCTCATGATGGCTCGAGTTATGTTCAGGATCATCCGACCGTTTTAAGTATAATTATTCATTTTATAATCAGTTAGGTTGATTCTTGTGATAAACGGTCGGAAGAGTTTGTCAAGTGGTCGAACATATCGGTCGTAGCGTCGGGTCGCGCCTACGCGCACGCTACAATTATTGTCCGAGCCATGTTAATGTCTTTCTTATGAAATTTCATGTAATTATGTGGTTATGATCATGTTATGTTATATCATGTTGGTTCATGTTGAAATGGTCGGGAGAAATCGTCGGACGGCCGGCAAGGGTCGGTCGTGGTCGCGCTGCCCGCACACAGCGGCAGCAGCGTGCCAGCAGTCAACCAGTGCGGGCGGACAGCGTGCGTGCATGCCCATGGGGCGTCGCGCACGGCCGCCCGCAGAAGCCATCCGTTGGCAGTGCCTGTGCACGCCAGCAGGTCACTGCGCACGCCAGTGCGCACGTCAATGCGCCCAGTCGCCTGCTGCGGTGCGCAGTAGTGCCCAGTAGTGCCTGTCGCGCAAGGCCAGCGTGATGAAGATCGTGTATCTGCCTCAACTCGATTTGCTTTGAAACCCGCGCCGACGCCTTGATCTCTAAGCGATAGGTTGTTAATACGCGCGCCGACGCCTTCGTACTTCGCGATAGTTGTGAAGAAACCCGGATGTTGGTCCTATTTCTAACACGATAGGTGTGAAGAAACCCGGATGTTGGTCCTATTTCTAACACGATTTTGTATGTAAACTCACACACAAGAGTTGGTGAACAAACGTTCGATTTTTTATTAATTCTTCGATATGAAAAATAACAAGAGGAAGAGCCTTTATATAGGCACAAATTATGTCTAGTCTTAATCTACCTAGGTAACTAATAAAGCAATAAAATTTTAAGTAACCTAAACAATCTAGATATCATAGTGCAATAAGGAAACCAAATAACTAAGGGATCTTGAAGCCTTGTCTTGCACTCCAAGCATAAGTCTTGCCTTGCACTCCAAGTAGAAGACTCCTAACCACCCATCCACCGTCTTGGTCGTCCACCGCCCGCGCACACCTTGCCCTAGTCCTTCGAGGACTAGGGTCGCGCCTCCTACACCCGCCTATCCTCTTGCCTCGAGGATTAAGGTCTCGCCCCATGCGTGCGCCATTCCTATTCCTTGAAGGGTCGTGCTTCGAGCCCACATCCACTTTGCCTATTCCTACTAGGAATATGTTTCCTGATCCCCCGAGGATTACTCCAGTCACCAATCTTTCGTGCGCGTTCCGACACTCAGTTGCTTTTCCTAGTCCTGCGGGGTCTAGGATTCGCACCTTGCCTATTCCTATAAGGATTAGGCTTACCACCCTAGTCTTGCGTCTCCCCGCATGTGCGCACGTGATTGCACTCTTCGCCTGCATGACCATCTCGCGCGCGTCCTCGCCACCTGCGCTGGTGTTGCGCATGCCCGTTCGCTCGACATTGCCCCTGTGCTCGCCCTGCGCCCCGTGCTTATCGCCCAGCGCCCTGTGCTCGGGCTTGAAAGGGTCCGGGACCACTTCCGTATCATTCCCGCCCCCTTTAAGCACATCCTTGTCCTCAAGGATCCTCTTGTGCTCGTTCTTTTCACCCATTAGCTCTAAACACCCTAACTCCGCTCCTTTAACCGCTCCCCTCTGTTTGATTTTCAACATGATCAACCTATTATCCGAATATAATTCCATTATCCCCTCCTTATAATTTGTTTTGACTTCTCCAAGTCCTTCTAGCCATTGCACCCCAAGGACTATGTCAGGTCCCACCAACGGTAATGAATAGAGGTCTACCTTGATGATCTCGCCTTGAAGATTGATGGGCACGTCTCGATAATACTCACGGCATCGCAGTTTTTCCCCATTGGAAACTCTTACGTCGAATGGATCCATCTTTGTTGCCAATAACTTCAATGCGTCCGCTAATATGGCACTAATAAAATTATGGGACGACCCGGTATCAACTAACACCTCGATAGATCGCCCTTGGACTGAAGCGGGCAATTTAATGGTTCTCGGCCCATGCACTCCCGACATCGCATTGACTAAAATTTCCAAGTCCTCATTGACGTAGTGCTTCGTTCCCACCTCCTCGTCACCTTCCATGTTGTACAATTGTTGCTTGCACCGATGACCCGGCGTGAATCTTTCGTCACAGCGAAAACATAGCCCCTTGCTTATTCGGCGCTGCCTCTCTTCCTCAGCCATCCTTTCGCGACCATTTGTTGTTGAACTTCCAACCTTGGGCGTGTTCTCCACGTATGTCCGTGGCTCCGTGCGCGCTGGTTCCGTGCGTACCCCTGCCCGTGTTTCGCCCTCGCGCGTGTTTGATCGGCCCATCTTGCGCACTGCAGCCAAGTGGTCGTCGTGCAAGCATGCGGCTTCCATGGTTTCCTGTAAGCTCCTCGACTTCTCGAGTCTAACCTCAGCAGCAAGATCCGGCTTAAGGCCTCCAATAAACGCGCCTATGAGCGCTCGCTCCGGCCAATCGCGTACATGACATGCTAGGCGTTCGAACTCCCTTTGATAATCCCTTAGGCTACCCGTTTGCCTAATTCGCGTCAAGGCCTCATCAAAATCATAATATTGGGATGAACCAAACCTCTTGATCAACCCTTTTTCGAACTCCCTCCACTTCAATCGTTTGCCTTTGTTCGCGTGCGTCATCCATTGCCACCATGTATTCGCCTCTCCATCGAGATAATATGCGGCGTACTTAACACGTTCAGCCTTGGGAGTCTCGTTGAGGTCGAAATATTGAGTAGCTCGACTCAACCATGCGTCTGGATCCTCACCCTTGAACGTGGAAAGAACAATCTTCGGTTTTTCGATCCTCCGTTCCTTGTGGCGCCATGAACCACTAGATCCATGCGACCGGCGGTCCATCTCTTCTTCGTATGCGCTATCCTCGTCCTCTGAAGGTGCGGACTCCTCCGATGATGACCCTAGCGTAGGATCTCTTGATGGCCTTCGACCACGCCGTCGAAGCTTTGCAAATTTATCGGCTAAGGATTGAATTGACCCGAACAGTGATTGCTCGAGTTTCGCCAATTGATTGTATGTTGCATGTTGAGCATCTTGCATGGCCTTCATGTCGGATTTCAAGGATTGCACATCATTGATCATGGGATACAATCCGCTCTCCAATGCCTCGATTCTCTCCTTATGCGTACTCGTCATTTTTTTTTTTTTTTTGAATCACTCACGCAAGAATGAAAAATAATTTTTTTTTTAACACTAACTAACTCACGCACTCTAAAAACAAATCAAAGAAAACTCTTTTTTTTTTCCTAACTCACGTAAAAAAAAACAAAAATTAAAGATTTTCTTCTTTTTTTTTAATCTAAACGAAAAGAAAAATCGAAAAGAAAGAAGAAGGGAAAAAGTTTAAACAAGATACACGACCAACCCTCTCAATGAAAGCACCAATGATGAAGATCGTGTATCTGTCTCAACTCGATTTGCTTCGAAACCCGCGCCGACGCCTTGATCTCTAAGCGATAGGTTGCTAATACGCGCGCCGATGCCTTCGTACTTCGCGATAGTTGTGAAGAAACCCGGATGTTGGTCCTATTTCTAACACGATAGGTGTGAAGAAACCCGGATGTTGGTCCTATTTCTAACACGATTTTGTATGTAAACTCACACACAAGAGTTGGTGAACAAACGTTCGATTTTCTATTAATTCTTCGATATGAAAAATAACAAGAGGAAGAGGCTTTATATAGGCACAAATTATGTGTAGTCTTAATCCACCTAGGTAACTAATAAAGTAATAAAATATTAAGTAACCTAAACAATCTAGATATCATAGTGCAATAAGGAAACCAAATAACTAAGGGATCTTGAAGCCTTGCCTTGCACTCCAAGCATAAGTCTTGCCTTGCACTCCAAGTAGAAGACTCCTAACCACCCATCCACCGCCTTGGTCGTCCACCGCCCGCGCACACCTTGCCCTAGTCCTTCGAGGACTAGGGTCGCGCCTCCTACACCCGCCTATCCTCTTGCCTCGAGGATTAAGGTCTCGTCCCATGCGTGCGCCATTCCTATTCCTTGAAGGATCGTGCTTCGAGCCCGCATCCACTTTGCCTATTCCTACTAGGAATATGTTTCCTGATCCCTCGAGGATTACTCTAGTCACCAATCTTTCGTGCGCGTTCCGGCACTCAGTTGCTTTTCCTAGTCCTGCGGGGTTTAGGATTCGCACCTTGCCTATTCCTATAAGGATTAGGCTTACCACCCTAGTCATGCGTCTCCCCGCATGTGCGCACGTGATTGCACCCTTCGCCTGCATGACCATCTCGTGCGCGTCCTCGCCACCTGCGCTGGTGTCGCGCATGCCCGTTCGCTCGACATTGCTCTTGCGCTCGCCAAGCGCCCCGTGCTTATCGCCCAGCGCCCTGTGCTCGGGCTTGAAAGGGTCCGGGACCACTTCCGTATCACAGCGCCCATAGGGCCCGGCAGCGCCCAGCTCCATGCCTGCGATGCGCCAGGCGCACGCAAGCGTCCCAGGTCACGTCCAGCTGGCCCAGGCTGACGCCTGTCGTGCCCAGCGAGAGTCAGGTCGTGCCAACCGTGCCTAGTGGCA